GTATGAGTTGTGCAGTATACTAGTATACCATTGACCAGTGTTCACCGTGCGGTGGCCCCTGTTCACACGTTTGGTAAATCAATTAAATGTTGCAAAACTCATATAGGCCTAGTCATTTAGTTACTTTCATAACAGAAAGAAAAAAGTGTCTGATTGATTGACAGTTTTGAGTGAAAACCGAGAATGTATTATTGTTACACGACATGCTCATCCTAATTTTTTTAAGGTAAGACGGAAGGCATTTGAATACAAAAGTGGGTTTTTTTTCTTTGGCGTTGTTTTGAAACCTCTTGCAGCCTTTTTTACGTTTACACATGTGTTTCTGCATTCATTAGCATTTGAAATGGCAATTTTCGTATTTGAACGCACTTTGTACAATTTTGCTCTTTCTGGGTTCATATTTGACATTCATGTCACATTTGGCCTCTCTATATCATATCTCAGCTTACAAAGTCACATTTTAACTTGCTATGTTCACGTTTGAACGGGTAATACTATATTATGCATACAAAGTTTATTTTAAAGAAGACGTGTTAGTCTGACAAGTCTAAATAAGTGCAATAAATAACAGCATCATCCCCGTTTATGTATGCAATTCTCAAAACTATGCTTGTGGTTGTTTTTTTACAGTGGCTGGGTTGTACATAACCACAGCCTCATCTTCAAAGTGAAGTCTACGCACATGCGTCCACAAAATGCCGGTGAGTTGATTCAACTCCACACCTTAGCCGAAAACGAAAGGTTGATTGCTTTTCTTAAAACCATTCAATTCATGTTATTGTTTTTTAGATATGCAATCCCTGAATCTCCCTGTCTCTGTCTCTACCTCTGTCCGTCTCTGTCTCTGTCTCTATGGCTGTCTGTTGATTTTTCTTCAGACTTTTCTATCCTACCACATGCTTTTAAAGAATTTAGAAAACATAAGTGTTGACGTCAATGTAATATCATGAAGAGGGAATTTTCTGAACAGTATAACAAATTAGAACATTCCTCGTCGGCACACATCCAACAAATATAGAGGCCCCTCAACAATATGTTTTGTCACCAGTTTTGTTCATATTATACACGAACGATTGCCAAATAAACAACAGTAACATCAAATTAATCAAAGTTGGGGATGATTCAACCATAATTGGGCTCATTCAGTCCGACCATAATGAAACTGCTTACCAGAATTTTGTATTTAACTTTTCTGAGTGGTGTGAAGACTATACGCTGCTTTTAAATGTGAAGAAAAAAATGTTGACTTTATAAAAAAGGAAATTGCCCCAACAACCACTCGAAAATAAAAATGAAAAAGTCTATTATAAGTAGTCAGGTGTTACAATAGACAGCAAATTCGATTTGCATTTCCACACTTCTATCCTGCGTAAAGAAAGTGAACAAAAGACACATTTTTCTGAGAAAAGCTCACGGAGCTTAAAGTTGAAAAATCATTGATGTCCATTCTATCAATCAACCGTAGAAAGTACAATCCATTTCTGTTTAACAGCATGTGCCGGGAACACAAGACAACAAGATAACGTGAATCGAATAATATCGAAAGCATGCAAAAATAATTTCAAAAGCGACATTCCCCTACTTCGATGAATTATAGTGCGGTCAAAATTCGTGGCGGAACTTATCCTCAAATATGTCTTCAAGGGGTGAAATCAATGTCATCCATACTTTGCACAACAGTTTGTATCAATTTGTCTTAACTAAATTACATTATTCCAGAACAATTGGGGCTAGATTAAAAAACCTTTCTTCACAAATTTATATAAAATGCTTGAAATCTCTGCCATACGTAAAATCGTATTGTTCACTGCACTTCCCGCTTCTCACACACTTTTCGATTACGCATATGGCCTACGTCACAGCTCATCAATTATTTTTATTTGGAAAACTTGTAACAAGAAATTATTTTTTATAATAAACATACTTTGCGCTAATGGTTCTCAAAACATGCGTTCAATAAGCATAATGTCCCGGTAAGAAAAACATGACGGATTTGCTATTAAAAGCAACATTGTCCGAGCTGTAAACATTTAAAAATCTGTAGAAACCACCCACTTAGATTATTTACTAGTATTTGTTCAGGAATTTTCTAGAATACAGCTAGGAGGTGTTTACAAAAATGTGGATCTGTTAAGACTAATTGATACAAGTCATTACGTGAAAATTGGGGAACTTAGGTTGGATAGTTTAGGAGATATTTGACACTAAGTCGCGCCACGAATATTTGACCTCATTAAATTATAGCTTGCACTATCGAGCGGTCAAAAATTCGTGACGCAACTTATCCTCAAATATCTCTTTAACGGGAGAATCAATGTCACCCATACTTTGTACATCAGTTTGTTTCAATTTTTCCACAACTGATGCTCGATTTAAAAACTTTTATTCATAAATTTATATAAAATATTATAAATCTCCGTCATGCAGAAAATACTACTGTTCCCAGCACTTCCAGCTTCTCGCACACGTTTTGCATACGCATATGGTCTACGTAACAGCTCGCCAATGACACTTTTTAGTGGTAAAACTTCTTACAAGAAACTAATTGTATAGTGAACACATTTTTTGCACTTAAAGGTCCTTTACCATACGTTCAATAAGCATAATTTTGCGATTAGAAAAAAATGACTGACATGCTTTTAAAAACAATATTTCCCGAGTTGTAAACTTTTAAAAATCTGTAGAAACCATAGACTTGGATTTTTCATTCGTATTTATTAAGGGGGAGGGGGGGGTTTACACCTGAAGGCTATCTCGCTTATTACTGGACCAAATTGTACCAAGTTTCACACAAATAACAAGAATAGTAAGGAGTCTTAAAATCCGAAATCAAATTTGAGAAAAAAGTTTCGTTTCCATGGATACGGTGGCCATATTGGATTTTGTTGACATGTCTTACGTAATGAATACCGCACTTATCGCCCATGGAAATTGACTGTTGTTTTGTTTTTTTGCATGCGTGTTCACAAACATTAGATCTAAAAATTTGTCTATTGTTTTTTTCATAAACGAATTAGAAAATTTTTAATGAATTTTTTCCTGAGGTAGCAGTCAAGTTTGCAAAATATCCATGAAATTCCACACTCCAGACATCACTAACAAAAATCTATTCCATATATCAAACATTCAACAAAGAAATTTTTAGTATTGCATCTTGTCTTCATTCTGTGAAAATTTCATGAAGATTGAATGAAAAATGGTGGAGTTATTCAAAAACGTATAGAGAAAAGTCGCGTTTTGAGAAAGAAAAATAAAATACTGACTTTATAAGGAATATGTGTGTTAAAGAAGGATCAAAACATCATAGTACTATGTCAAATGAACTTTCTTTTTTGCTTTGAGGATTGCATAAAAAAGTACGTTTATATTGAACAATTTCAAATTGTTTTAAACGTGTACACAAATATGGGGAAAAATATGTTTAAGTTAATGTGTAACTGCTATGAACATCCGGAGGTGAAATCTGTGACTCGGAGGTTGACAATTTTATGACCCACCATCATTCACGGTCGCGAGCTGCCGTTGCACATTCTTCTATACCCAGGCCAGTTCTTGTGTTGTCCATTTAAGTTACCCTTTGTCCTCCCCTGGCTCCTCTGCCCCACATCATCCGGAGGTGTCTTTCACAGTGGTCTCATGTCGTTTTAAGTGGCCATAGTATTGTATTTTCCAACATTTTATTTTATTCTTCAGGGATTGTCTTGTGTGGAAAATCTGACATTGCTCATTTTTTGCTTTCCAACTTATCCTGGTCTTTTACCTGCTATTACAGTAGACTATTACCCTCTCCCCACCCTCTACCCCCTTCTAATCTACCCCCCCCCTCTCTCTCTCTCTCTCTCTCTCTCTCTCTCTCTCTCTCTCTCTCTCTCTCTCTCTCTCTCTCTCTCTCTCTCTCTATCGGTCTCTCTTTTTTTATGTGTGTCTGTCTATCCCTCCATCAACCCTATCTGTCCTCTGTCCTTCCATTCCTTTATCTATCTATCTATCTATCTATTTATCT